ATGCCTGAAGGTGTTGATACTGAAGCTGTGTAATGACACCTGAAGGTGTGGATACTGAAGCTGTGTAATGACGCCTGAAGGTGTGGATACTGAAGCTGTGTTATGATGCCTGAAGGTGTCGATACTGAAGCTGTGTAATGACGCCTGAAGGTGTTGATACTGAAGCTGTGTAATGATGCCTGAACGTGACGATACTGAAGCTCTGTAATCACGCCCGAAGGTGTTGATACTGAAGCTGTGTAATGACCCCTGAAGGTGTCCATGCTGAAGCTGTGTTATGATGCCTGAAGGTGTCCATGTTGACGCTGTTGTTATGCAATGCCGGCTAATTAGTGTTGATTTGATGTCACAATAATTCTACATCAGAAATTCTATATTATTTTAGTAATTGTCAACAAAATAATATTGAGTTTCAAAAGTGAATGCCACATATCTGAATGTATTTTTTATTATTTTTAAAATTAAAAGCAAAACCTTGAACATTTGTATGATTACTAAACAATCCTCACCTTTACTTACTAAAGTATGGTAGATGTAGTTCAAATTGAAAATTGAAATTAAAGAAAAGTATGATTTACTATTGATTAATATTCAATCACATTTAAAAAACCTGATGTCATATTTTGTTGCAAACTAAGGTCAAAGATCAGGAATGATACAAACCCATTAGATTTGATGAACGGAGGAATAGAGTAGGAGAATGACCTTTTAGTGAGGAATTCGAGTGGATGTTATATTGTAAAATACACTGTTCAAAAAGGAGTGTGTCAGAGGCTGAATACAAGGAAGACATATGTGTTGTGTCATTAAACCTTTAATTTAAATCTGCATCTGTGTTCATTGTTTATGTCTGTCCTGTGGAAAACACATCCTGCAGCATTCTGAAGTGTCACAATTCAGTTAATCCTTGGCGTAAATGTTTTCAATGTCCCCAGGCCTGACTATCTCACCTGGGCCCGAATATCTCACCTGGGCCCGTATATCTCACCTGGGCCCGTATTCAGGAAACTTTTCTCAGTCTCAAGCATGGACTTGGTGCTTAAGCCTAATTTCTTGTTCTGGTTATAGATCAATATAAATCTTATTTTACTGATGATTTGGGGCAAAATTGAAGAGTCTTAGAGCCAAGTACTGTTTTCAATGCTTACATTTTTTTTTTGATTGTTTTATTAGCTCACCTGATGCGGCGTCCGTCGTCTGTCCGTCGTTCGTCAGTCCTCGTCCGTCAACTTTTCCTTTAAACAACTTCTTCAGTAGAACGGACAGGCCTAGAGTCATGATATTTAGCTGAAAGCTTTGTTGGTAGGAGCCTGACAAAGTTTGAGAACAAAAATGACCTTGACCTACTTTCAATGTCACAGGGGTCAAATATGTCAAAAACTTCAACAACTTCTTCTGAAGAACTAAAAGGTATAGAATCTTCATATTTGGCTGATTGCTTTCTGGGATGGAGCCCAACAAAGTTTGAGAACAAAAATGACCTTGACCTACTTTCAATGTCACAGGGGTCAAATATGTCAAAAACTTCAACAACTTCTTCTGAAGAACTAAAAGGTATAGAATCTTCATATTTGGCTGGTAGCTTCCTGGGAAGGAGCCCAACAAAGTTTGAGAATGAAAATGACCTTGACCTTCTTTCAAGGTCACAGGCATCAAATATGACAAAAACATCAAATGACTTCTTCTGAAGAACTAAAAGGTATAGAATCTTCATATTTGGCTGATGGCTTCCTGGTTCATTTGAATGACCTTGACCTGACCCACTTTCATTGTCACATTTAGTCAAATATGTATGAACATTTAAATTACCGAATCTCAATAAACAAAAAGTTGCATGCTGAGATTTGCATTTTGAGAATTAAATAACGTCTTACATAACGTACATTGTTTAAGAAAGAAATAATGCAATTTGGCAAGAGTCAGCATTTTAGTTTTGGTCAGGTACGCCTGGACCACTCAATCTACACATACAAAATTTTCCTGAGGTCAGCCTCAGTCCAGATCTGTACCTGTCGTTTTCTTTACAGGTTCAACCGGTTTAACTGTTTCAACCGGATACGCGAATGTACCCCTGGTCTTAAGAACCAAGGTGATTTTATGCTGTACCATGGCGTCCATAGTCAATCCTACAAATGAATGCTTGTTCTTAACAGCTGATTAGAATATGACCAAATGTGACTGGATGCATCCCTTGGGATTGGGGTTTAAAAATTTGTAAAAGGGCAGGGCAAAAATGTGTAATTTGGCAATATTGGTTTAAAGTGACCTCTTCTCTGGACCTAACAGATGAGTACCAAGCAGATGTATTCCAAGTGGTGGGGATTCTATTTGTACAAATGGACGGGCTGACCACTGGGTCCGAGGGACGGACCAAAACTTATTAATAACTTACAATTAGACACTGTTGACATCCTAATAATTGATCATTTGTACATGTCTCAATTTAATCTACATTGTATATCCAGTTAGCAAATTTTTCTCTTACATAATGACCCGGACTTTCAAAGAAGGTGCAGAAAATGTATCCAATGGCACATCAACTTGTGTTTTATATAAAGTTTTATCAAAAGATTTTTTCATGTAAGAATTTCTTTTCCAGACAAGAAATTTGTTTATGGTGATACCCCGGATACAGATACCCGTCTCCAACACTGAAGACAGGTTAAAAGTCAAAGGTCAAGGTCCAGAAAAGTTGAGAAGCAGAACATTATTATGTGAAGTCGTCAGTTAAGGTCAAATATAAAGGTCATAAAAATTGCTGTGAATGAAACATACTTTACTGATCAAGGCACATAAGTGTGTCAAGTTAAATGACCCTAGCTAGTCCATAACTGACCTAAACGCAGACAACCTAACCATGGCCTTTATATAATAAAGGTCAAAGGTGAAAGTCAGGAAATGTGATGAAATACGCTGTATTCATCAAGGCACAAGATTTTGTAAAATTACTCTAGCTGCAATATGTGGTTTATTTAAGCAATGAACGTTTTGCTAAAATATTCATTATCTACATTTACACTTTGATAGAGTAGTTATACTTTATTTAGTTATTATACCCCCGCAACGAAGTTAGGGGGGGGGGGGGGGGGGGGGTATACTAGAATCACCCTGTCTGTCTGTCTGTCTGTCTATTTGTCTGTCTGTCTGTCTGGATTTCATTGTGCACCCGCATTTTAATTACGGATTTGACCCTTTTTGATGGAGTTATGCCCCTTTTTGTGAAATACTTGTCCGCGCAACTCCTCCTTAATAAACAGGTGGATTTCATTGAAACTTTGCATGAATGAATGATCGGTATTAAGTTGTGCAACAGCATTTTAATTTCGACCCTTTGTGATGGCGGTATGCCCCTTTGTGCAAAATACTTGTTACTGGTAGGAGACTATGGATTGCTTTGTAATGCTTTGCCTTAGTAAGCCTTTAACTTACAGTTCTGGTTTATATATAGTTTGGAACAATTCTGAACAGCAAATTAAGTATTGACAACAATGAAATTCATGACCTTACAATAAAGATTGATGACATTATAATAACAAATGTTGTTATAGTCTCACAACAACATTTGCCTTATCAATACATTGCAATGGAAGGATGCAGTGCAAATGTAACGAGAGTGAAGGTCAGACATGCCACACTCATCAAGGCTCCTACAGATGTTAACTTAACGAGAGTGAAGGTCAGACATGCCACACTCATCCAGGCTCCTACAGATGTTAACTTAACGAGAGTGAAGGTCAGACATGCCACACTCATCCAGGCTCCTACAGATGTTAACTTAACGAGAGTGAAGGTCAGACATGCCACACTCATCAAGGCTCCTACAGATGTTAACTTAACGAGAGTGAAGGTCAGACATGCCACACTCATCAAGGCTCCTACAGATGTTAACTTAACGAGAGTGAAGGTCAGACATGCCACACTCATCAAGGCTCCTACAGATGTTAACTTAACGAGAGTGAAGGTCAGACATGCCACACTCATCAAGGCTCCTACAGATGTTAACTTAACGAGAGTGAAGGTCAGACATGCCACACTCATCAAGGCTCCTACAGATGTTAACTTAACGAGAGTGAAGGTCAGACATGCCACACTCATCAAGGCTCCTACAGATGTTAACTTAACGAGAGTGAAGGTCAGACATGCCACACTCATCAAGGCTCCTACAGATGTTAACTTAACGAGAGTGAAGGTCAGACATGCCACACTCATCAAGGCTCCTACAGATGTTAACTTAACGAGAGTGAAGGTCAGACATGCCACACTCATCAAGGCTCCTACAGATGTTAACTTAACGAGAGTGAAGGTCAGACATGCCACACTCATCAAGGCTCCTACAGATGTTAACTTAACGAGAGTGAAGGTCAGACATGCCACACTCATCAAGGCTCCTACAGATGTTAACTTAACGAGAGTGAAGGTCAGACATGCCACACTCATCAAGGCTCCTACAGATGTTAACTTAACGAGAGTGAAGGTCAGACATGCCACACTCATCAAGGCTCCTACAGATGTTAACTTAACGAGAGTGAAGGTCAGACATGCCACACACGTCGAGGCTCCTACAGATGTTAACTTACAAGACTTACAATCTTCACTAGTAGACCATTATCGACTTAAAATCTGAACTGGTCGGTCGTACAGACAAAGGTAACACTGGATGACCTGTACCTCCTAGTAGTGTAACAGCTAAGGAATATGAGGTGGAAATACTGTCTTACTGGCGCGCTAGCTTTTCCAGTGATGCGGTATAACCTGGGGACCCGCTCACTAGTTCATCTAGCGTGTCCAGTAGCTGGATGTGTCACCACCCACACTTTACAGTAGCAGGGCACAGAACTAGCTGTATCCAGGTAAGATTGTGACATGCCTTCAAATTCCATATCAGAAGGTTGCAAGTTGTACCAGGCATATAATATGTCTTTGTGTCAAAAGTTTCAATTTAAAATCTTGATAAAAATTCGTTGAAATAGCTAAATTATGAGAAACAAACTAATTTCAGCTTTCTGTTCAATTTTATTGTGTCCCATAAATTTCCACATAATAGTGGTATTTTTTTTACAATTTAAAGCTTTATCATATACATTCACTACAACATAGCTCTCTCAGGACCTGTATTTTTAGTAACTTTAGCAGCTGAACCAAAGGTTGCTCTCAAACTGTTCACCAACATCTGTCGTCTTTAACTTAATACTGTCTCTAGAGGTCGAACACAAAATGTTTCTAAATTCAGGTGTCAAATACACTTGAATTTTCAAAAGTCAAATGTAACAATTCACACAACCAATTTAGTTCTCAAAAGGGAGAACTAGGTATGTATACCTAGTTATGATTGAATGGAGGCCAGAGACACTTCTACAGACCAGCTGGATGAAGGTGTTAATGTCTCAATCAAGACTTGTGACCTCACACAGGAAGTCACATTGCAGTCAAGACTTGTGACCTCACACAGGAAGTAACATTGCATTCAAGACCTATGACCTCACGCAGGAACTAACATTGCAGTCAAGACCTTTTACCTAACGCAGGAAGTAACATTGCAGTCCAGACCTATGACCTCACGCAGGAAGTCACATTGCAGTCAAGCCCTTTGACCTCACACAGAAAGTCACATTGCTGTCAAGACCTGTAACCTCACACAGGAAGTCACATTGCAGTCAAGACTTGTGACCTCACACAGGAAGTCACATTGCAGTCAAGACCTTTGACCTCACGCAGGAAGTAACATTGCAGTCAAGACCTTTGACCTCACGCAGGAAGTAACATTGCAGTCAAGACCTATGACCTCACGCAGGAAGTAACATTGCAGTCCAGACCTATGACCTCACGCAGGAAGTCACATTGCAGTCAAGACTTGTGACCTCACACAGGAAGTCACATTGCAGTCAAGACTTGTGACCTCACACAGGAAGTCACATTGCAGTCAAGACCTTTGACCTCATGCAGGAAGTAACATTGCAGTCAAGGCCTATGACCTCACGCAGGAAGTAACATTGAAGTCAAGACCTGTAACCTCACACAGGAAGTCACATTGCAGTCAAGACTTGTGACCTCACACAGGAAGTCACATTGCAGTCAAGACTTGTGACCTCACACAGGAAGTCACATTGCAGTCAAGACCTCTGACCTCACACAGGAAGTCACATTGCAGTCAAGACCTCTGACCTCACACAGGAAGTCACATTGCAGTCAAGACCTGTGACCTCACACAAGCAATCCAGTCCTGCTGATCCAGGCCTAGACAGGCTGCCTCGTGACTGGAGGGTTTTTGTGTGACCTCTCCTGTGACCTCACACCAGCAATCCAGTCCTGCTGATCCAGGCCTAGGCAGACTGACTCGTGACTTGAGGACTTTTTGTGTGACCTCTCTTGTAACCGTTGGTATCCATGACATCCTAATCTTCCTCGTCCTCCTCCTCTTCTTCCTCATCTAAAACACATTTAAAGCCAATAAGATATAACAAAGACACACCCTGGTTTAAGGAATATAAGATACAACTTCATAGTAATACTGTTATCACGTTACTTCAGCACCCAAGGAAAATCCTTGAATTGTGAGCAGGTGGCAATTTCAACAATTTTTGGTCCATCTAAAAATTAAGAGGGGGCATTCTATGTAAAATTAAAATTAAATTGGCATTTTCCTTGTACTTTTTTGGCATTTGTTGTTTTGGTCAAACTGAATGTCATTGTCTTAACATCCACCTTTTCTATACTGCTTAAAATACAATGACTAAAGTAACTTTGTTTGTAAAAAATTGTCATCAAGATAGAGTTGACAAGTGGTTGTCGGTGCAACAGTTTCAAACAACAAACTCACCAAGTTGTTTAACTCCTGTAGGGTTAACGGACAGATCCAAGGGAAGTAACTCTGTGGGTTTATTCTCGTACAATTCATCTGTGTCGACCTCCGCCTTCAGAGTCTAAACAACAAAACATCAGTTTAAGTAACAAAAATAATAAATAATAATGATATTTTGGGTTCTTATATACCACACCATCACAACCTAGTTCGTAGGTCTTCTCAAAGCGTTCACAAATTATTATCCGTGGTTAAAGGGCGTTTACAACCAGTCAATATTTTTCTCAACTCCCTGGGGAGCATACAGCCGGTGCTGCCATTTCGGCACTCACATCTAGTATTCAACAATTCCAGCACTGCCTAACCACATACTTATTTACAGCTGAGTAGACTGGAACAAGCTACAACACAATGCTGTGACGTGACTTGAACCCGCAACCCTTTGATCATGAGTCTGGTGTCCTACCACTAGACTACAGTGCCTAGTACTACATAACATGCTGTAAAATGTTTTAAGTTCTCACACATTTTGGATGGAATATCCTTATATTTAAAGACAAGTCGAAGGCAACTTGACTATACATGGACCCATGGCTGTGTTACTATTGTGACTTACTTGGTGTGGTACTGGACCAACGGCTGTGTTACTATTGTGACTTACTTGGTGGAGGTACTGGACCCACGGCTGTGTTACTATTGTGACTTACTTGGTGTGGTACTGGACCCACGGCTGTGTTACTATTGTGACTTACTTGATGTGGTACTGCACCCACGGCTGTGTTACTTTTGTGACTTACTTGGTATGGTACTGGACCCATGGCTGTGTTACTATTGTGACTTACTTGGTGTGTCACTGCACCCACGGCTGTGTTACTATTGTGACTTACTTGGTGTGGTACTTGACCCATGGCTGTGTTACTATTGTTATTTTCCTCCTCTTCAGTACACTGTACCTGGCTAGCACTCTGTCGTATCATACTAACTAGGGCGAGCTCCTCCACCTGTGGACAAAAATGTGAAACGTTAAAATACGAAAATATAAAATCAGCAACACACAGGACTCAAAAAGCAAACAATGTTCATAGTTAAACAGTCAATTCAAGTGCCAATTATCTTATTACATATCGGAACAAGTTTTAGGAGTACCGAAACATCTTAAACAAGTGTTAAAGATGTGCATTGATTAGATCATTGCCTTTAAGGGTCAGCTGTAGGGAATTTCCCTTAAGCTCAGCAGTAGAGCATCGGGCTGGAGAGCCCAGGGTCGC